AGACTGTCATAACTGACCTGAGACAGACTGTCATAACTGACCTGAACAAGGCTGTCATAACAACCTGAGAGACAAGACTGTCGTAACTAACTGAGACAAGACTGTCATAACTGACCTGAGACAAAGCTGTCATAACTGACCTGAGACAAGACTGTCATAACTGACCTGAACAAGACTGTCATAACTGACCTGAGACAAGACTGTCAACTAATGACCTGAACAAGACTGTCATAACTGACCTGAGATAAGACTGTCATAACTGACCTGAGACAAGACTGTCATAACTGACCTGAGATAAGACTGTCATAACTGACCTGAGACAAGGCTGTCATAACTAACCTGAGACAAGACTGTCACAACTGACCTGACACAAGAGTGTCATAACTGACCTGAGACAAGGCTGTCATAACTGACCTGAGACAAGACTGTCATAACTGACCTGAGACAAGACTGTCATACCTGACCTGAGACAAGACTGTCATATGACCTGAGACAAGACTAATGACCTGAACAAGCTGTCAAACTAACCGGACAACTCTATAACTGACCTGAAACAAGACTGTCTGCTGACCTGAGACAAGGCTGTCACCAGCAACCTGAGACAAGACTGTCACCAGCAGCCTGAGATAAGACTGTCATAACGACCGGCCTGAGACAAGGCTGTCATAACTGACCTGAGAGACAAAGGCTGTCTCACTGAACAAGCTGTCATAACACCTGAACAGGCTGTCAAACCTGAACAGCTTCATAACTAACCTGAGAAAGCTGTCAAACCAGAGACAGACTGTCATAACTGACCTGAAACAAGACTGTCATAACTGACCTGAGACAAACTGTAACTGACAACAGACCATAACTGACCTGAGACAAGGCTGTCATAACTGACCTGAGACAAGACTGCATCTGACCTGAGACAAGCTGTCATAACTAACCTAGACAGACTGTCATAACTAACAACAAACACACCAACAAAAACCAAACAAACCACAAACTGACCTGAGACAAGGCTGTCATAACTAACCTGAGACAAAATATTGGTCATACTTGTAGATGATAACAAATATGAGTCATCCTTATTAACACTGACAGTCATAGTGTGTAAGTTGATAAATGTAATATTTGTGAAACTATATTTTATTTTCATGCCAAGTTTAAAGATGGTAACTGAGCTAAACGATGATGAGATATTTGATAACTTGATCCATCGCTAAAAAGCCCGTTAGACAATGTTACCTTTCATAGGAGTTGCCATACCTGAGCAATACTGAGGCGCTCTGTGGCCGACGTCTCGAAGTGCTGGTGTACTTGTGCTCGCCGATCACCACCATGTCGCTGGTGGTCATGCTAAGACATAAGCTGTGTTACTCCTACACTTTTGTCACACATCACCAGTATATTTGATCTTCCTAGTACTATTCTCTCTCTTTACCAATGCTTCTTTCTTGACTTGCAAGATATGAAACCTTTATATGCAAGTTTTATTTGTCTGCAGGAGAATCTGAGGCACAGAGGAGTTTTCATAATGATCAGGTGTCTGTAGTTATTTAATGGTATTTGGAAGACTGTAGAAGTTTATAGATTACGATTTGTGTTTAGGAAGAACTTTCCACAGGTAAATATGATCTATCCATGATACTGGATAAAGTTTTGGACAACATTACATGATATGAAGATCTGTAGCTCACTGAAGACAATAGGACGTAGCAAGAGGCGATGAAGTTAAATTATATTGCCACATATATATTTTTAAAATTATTTATAATATATTGTTTGGGGTTTATAACCCTACATCAACCTTTACCCATGCCCGCTGAAGATTGATTTTAAGTGCATTTTTGTAAACTTATTTTGTATAATAGCTAATGATAATGATAATGAACTAATTTAATCAAAATTTAATTAACTCGGGGAATATAGAGAGTCGGGTCAGACGGTCCGTTACGATAGGTCGTAATCCTAAAGATTAATTGCCATTTGATTAGTCAGCCGATGATGAGGATATTAGAAATTACCAGGAATGATGTTTTTATTAGTGTAGTCACCCAACACAAGATGGAGAGCCCTGGTGACTTACACGGCAGCGCAGTGAGCAGCAGTGAGGATCCACTGGTTACTGATGATGGAGGCGCCACAGAATGGTGTTGAGCCGGAAGAACTGACGAGAGCCACTTGTCAGGGATACTCGTGTATCTCAGTTGGCTGACCACCCACGATACGAGTCTGTCGGTTGCTTGTCCACACTCTGTACCCACAACATCACACAACTTCTTAATCCTTGCATATATTTAACACCACATACTAACATTTGAAAACGTCCAACATGTAAATAAGCCTTTTTTTATGAGGATTAGCCCACAAAGGCACAGGACAATGACCCACATCGGGGCCTGGGTGTAATAATAATTCAGTAAAAGTAAAATTTATACACAAATAAAATATAATGATAATATTAATGAAAACAACACTGCAATAATAATAATAATAATAATAATCATAATCATAATCATAAAAAATAATAATAATAATAATAATAATCATAATAAAGAAATACTAAAATGGAAAAGGGATCAAGAGGAAATAATATATGTATGTTGTGTTGTCAATGGTAAGAGAAACAATTGAGACCCTGCAATTGTATGTAAATGAGGCAGAAAGTCAGGTCAGCAACCTGGGACTTGGTCACAATTTTCGTGATGCCATATGGCAGCAGGGTCTACCATTAGACAATACATTATGCTTCCAATATCTTCCCAGGCGGTAGTACCTCCCTGTTTAGTAGCTACCTACTACTACAAATATTACCGTTATAATACAGACAAAAGATTTTCAGGAACTAGATGATTTGATTAAATAGTTGCTAGATTCACAAATTGACATTCTAATATATATATATATATATATATATATATATATATATATATATATATTATTATTATATATATATATATATATATAATATATATATATATATATATATATATTGATGTTTATGTTTTGATGTACAGACACAGCAGACCGGTTTGTCCCGATTCACAAAGAGACAACAACAGATTACGTTATACATACTGCAGCTTGTAGCTGAAGGGACGGTAGTTGCTGCTGGAGTCTTAGTGGTTGAGCCTGACCCTTGACCAGAAAAACACAAGTCGTTGCTTCCTTCACTCGTCTTAGCCTTCAGCCAGTCCAAATACTCTGCAAAATTGGCTCTTATATCAAGTCAAATATTTATAACAGTCTTGAGCACATACTATTAACGGTTTCCAAGAAGACTTCGACGTTATATGACATAAGTATTGAGATTTAACTTACTAGTGACCCGAACGTAGACTCCTGGGTAGTTGGGCATAGCACACCCATAGCCCCATGACACCACACCTGCCAACACCCACTTGCCATTCTCCTTACAGCCAAACCTCCAGAATCACCCTGCCAACATTTTAATATGATTTATGTATCGTCCTGAAAAAAAATACATTTATTTCATACAGAGATTCCTTGTATTTGTTCCAGAGTACGTGAACACTGACCTGACAAGAGTCCTTCCCACCAGCATCGTAACCAGCACAAAGCATGTCACTGATGCTGTTACCATACGACTGCTGGCACTCGCTGTTACTGACCACTGGAACCTGAACCTCTTGTAAGACATCGGGTTGACTACCGCCTGCAGGTAAATATTGGCGACGCTTTGATCAAAAGTCATAGGCTTCATATTTACTCTGCACTACTTGAGTCTGTATATGAAGTACATCCATGTTAAAGTAACGCTATAAAGTACAGTACCTGAACTCAACGTTCCCCATCCAGAAACAGTGGCGGTGAAGCCGGTATAATCTTCACTGACGCTGGGAAGACAAGCGGGTTTAACATTTTCATTCAAAGAAGCTTTTGTGGCAAGCTTTAGTACAGCGATGTCGTTATCTTGTGTACTGCTGTCATAGCTTTCATGGTTAATGATCCTTTCTACAGAAATACGCTGCTGGGCACTGGTGGAGCTGGTCAGTTCATGTGCCCCTAGGAGAACCTCCACATCTATCCCATAATCAGTTATTCTAATGAAAAACACATAAAGCATTACAACCACAAAATACAGTGTTAAAAGAAAAAATATTATATCCAGATTTTCGAAAAATAACAAATAACTCGATAACTTACGCTTCCACAATGAGCAGCCGTAACAACGTAACCATCATTATAGAGAGAAGCACCACAGAAAACCTGGTTGGTTCCCTTTACAACGAGTGCCGCTTGCCAGGGGTACTCATTCACCTCCGTCGCCACTCCTCCCACAATGCGGGTGACGCGGTTCACTGTGCCACACTTGGCTGATAAATAAAATGTTACATCTGTATTACCTTGTCTATGAAACTTGATATTTGCGTAGAAAAGTTTTCATGGTTTTCCATCTGAAATTTGTGCCTATGACATATTACTATATCAAATCAGTACATTTTCTTCATCGTTAGTCTTACACAAATATAATCAACTCGTTTCAGTTAAAAACGTACAGCATTGACCGTTGTCGACGGAGATGTCAGTGACGTCAGTAGTGACTTGGGTGATGGTCTGAACCTTGCCTGGAGACGTAAACAAAGATTAACATTCATCACATATTATCAACAATTATCATAGTATCTAACAACTTTATAATTACAATAATCATTCATAATAGACATACTTTGTCTATATTGAAGACAGTTCGACACAGCAGTGACCCACACTGCCTTCACAAAAGAGGTTATAAGAAATAAACTGTCAAAGCTAAAGGTTCATAAGAGTCCCGGCCCTGACATGGTGCATCCCAGAGCGCTAAGAGAGTTGTGCAACAAGCTTCCTGAGCCCCTGAAGATCCTGTTCTGCAAATGCCAGGATGAGCAAAAGGTCCCCTGTGATTGGAAAATGGCTTATGCGAGTCCTATCTTAAAGAAGGGCGATCGTCACCCACAAATAACTGTGGACCGGTGAGCCTCACCAGCATAGTATATAAAGTATTTAAAAGCATTATAAGAGATGCCATGATGGAACATCTACGAAACCACCTTGTAAAGGATTGCCAACACGGTTTTATGCCAGGTGCCTGCTTAACACAATTACTCAAAGTACTGGACGTTTGATCCAAATTCTAGAACAGGGCGGCAATATCGACAATATATACCTAGATTTTGCCAAGGCTTTCGACAGCGTACCCCATGAAAGGCTGAAAATTAAATTGAAAGGTACGGATTCGAGGAAATGTCCTGGCGAAGATTGAGACTTTCCCCATGACTGCAAGCAGTGTGTGGTGATTAATGACACGAAATCATCATGCGTACCCATCACAAGCTGGGTACCACAGGGTAGTGTATTGTGACCGCTGTTGTTTGTTTGCTTCTTAAATGACATGCCTGACGCTGTACACTCCTCCATACAAATGTTTGAGGATGACGCCAAGCTATTTCGAAATTAAGAACCAAGCAGACTGTCAAGAGCTGCAGAAGGATCTCTGTGAGCTTGAAGAATGGTCGAAGAAATGGCTGTTAATATTCAATGTACCGAAGTGTAAGAGGCTGCACCTGTTAAGTACCAACAGTAAGGAGGGCAGTCCCAACGGACAGAGAAACTAGTGTATATTGACAATAAGCTGAAGTTATCGGGCCATTGCGAGAATAAGGTGATTCAGGCAACTAAATTATTAGGTCTCTGAAGAAGGTCGTTCAGATATCTAGACGGGCCTTTCTTCGTAACGATCTTCAAGATTGAGGTGCTTCCCCGTCTGGAACCCGAAATATGGCTAGGGACTGTCAGTTGACTAAAAATGTCAAAGAACGGTCGCTAGACTGGTGCCTGCACTTCGGAACTTCAGCTACCCTGAGAGATTAGAGCGCCTGAAATTGCCTAACCTTATTCCACAGACGGGCAAGGGGTAACCTAATTGAGGTATAGAAACATCTCAAAGGGCACCACTCAGTCGAGTGTCCTTACCTGGAGCCGCTTGCCCCACAAGGGGTCACAACTTAAGGTTGAGTAAAGCCCAGAAAACTGTGAGGGGCAACTTTTCTGGAGTGAGAGTTGTGAACTCTTGCAACAATCTGCCAGAGAGTGTTGTGACGGCACCGGGTGTGAGCTCCTTCACGACCAGATTTGATAAGCACTAGAACATGTTCAGAGAAATTCAGAAGCCAGTGCATGCCTAGTATCTGCCAACAGTGGTTAACAGAGACGTGACCGATCGCCCAAGCAGCTAATTAACCAATGAGTGGTGAAGAGGGTGTGAAAAAAAAAAAGATAGACTAGATGTTACAATCCAGTAATAAGAGATACTGTTGGCAGGAAACAGCCGGCTGAGACTCCACCAAGTGATGGTGACAATGTACCGCCACATCTAAGGGTGAGTCTTGTTTCTACAGCAACTATTACTGAGATGTATTATCAGTCTCTCGTGTATCACAATATTGTACTTACATGGTTATATAATGTGCGTACATATTTACGACCAGTTACACATCTTATACAGTAATTACTTACCGGTGCTCTAGTTCAAGAATCACTTATCACAGCTTGAGTCAAGGTGTTACTAAAGGTGGTACAGTATTCAAGGTGGAGGGTTGGTGATGCTCACACTCACTCGGCGTTAAGCAACACAAAAATGTTTGGTTCAAAAGACTGTTTCATGTTAACAGCTGAACTGATGACCAATGAAGAAAGTTGTTGTGTTATGTCAGGTGACTGAACCAATAAATAATGTCAGGTGAGGCCTGGTCTTAGGCTATGTTGGCACCTGTTGAAACTGAAGTCTGTATGAAACAAGCCAATTAAAACTGGGACCCATAAAGACTGGAACCCATAAAGACTGGGACCCATATAGACTTTAACCCATTAAGACTGCGACCCATTAAGACTGGGACCATTAAGACTGGGACCCATAAAGACTGGGACCCATAAAGACTGAACCCATTAAGACTGCGACCCATTAAGATTGGGACCCATAAAGATTGAACCCATAAAGACTGGGACCAAAGATGGAACCCATTAAGACTGGGACCCATAAAGACTGAACCCATTAAGACTGACCCATTAAGACTGACCCATAAAGACTGAACCCATTATAACTGGGACCCATTAAGACGGGACCCATTAAGACTGAACCCATAAAGACTGGGACCCATAAAGACTGAACCATTAAGACTGGGACCCATAAAGACTGGGACCCATAAAGACTGAACCCATAAGACTGGGATCAAAGACTGGAACCTATAAAGCAACCCATTAAGACTGGGACCCAAAAAGACTGGAACCCATAAAGACTGGAACCCATAAAGACTGGAACCCATTAAGACTGGGACCCATAAAGACTGAACCCATTAAGACTGGGACCCAAAAGACTGGGACCCATAAAGACTGGAACCCATTAAGACTGGACCCATAAAGACTGGAACCCATAAAGACTGAACCCATTAAGACTGGGACCCATAAAGACTGGAACCCATTAAGACTGAGAACTCATAAGACTGAACCCATTATAACTGGGACCCATTAAGACTGGGACCCATTAAGACTGGAACCCATAAAGACTAGGACCCATTGAGACTGGGACCAATCACACTGGGACCCAAAATACTGGGACCCATAAAGACTGGAACCCATAAAGACTGGAACCCATAAAGACTGGAACCCATTAAGACTGGGACCCATAAAGACTGGAACCCATTAAGACTGGGACCACTAAAACTGGGACCATTAACACTCAGACACATAAATACTGGGACCCATTAAGACTGGAACCCATTAACACTGGCACCCATTAAGACGGACCCATGAAGACTGGGACCCATTAAGACTTGGACCCATTAAGACTGGGACCCATTAAGACTGGGACCCATTAAGACTGGGACCCATTAAGACTGGGATCCATTAAAACTGGCACCCATTAACACTGGCACCCATTAACACTGGCACCCATTAACACTGGCACCCATTAAGACTGGAACCCATTAACACTGGCAACCAATAAGACAGGGACCCATTAAGACTGGGACCCATTAAGACTGGGACCCATTAAGACTGGGACCCATTAACACTGGGATCCATTAACACTGGCACCCATTAACACTGGCACCCATTAACACTGGCACCCATAACACGAGACCCATTAACACTGGCACCCATTAACACTGGGACCCATTAAGACTGGGACCCATTAAGACTGGGATCCATTAAGACTGGGATCCATTAAAACTGGGACCCATACTGGCACCCATTAACACTGGGACCCATTAACACTGGGACCCTTAACACTGGGATCTACTTAGGTTAGGTTAGGTTTATACTGAACTTTACCAGTCGAGAACTTACCAGAGGGGACACAACACAGGAGAAACCTTGAGCTTTTCCTCTTCTGTTTGTCTTGAAAACAATATTCAAAAGGTCAGTGTCGCCTCCTTCACTGAGAGTTCCAAGGTTGCCGCAGAATCTGAGGGAACACAAAGTCGGGTGATAGTGATTAAGTAATTAATACATTAGTTTATTATATCATATTGTACTTTTATCTTATATGTTGGTTCAGATTAATTAATGGATATAAAAATAAATAAAGTATTGTATACTTTACTGTATACTTTACTGTAGCTGTTGGCAGTCGTGTGGTGCCCCCGTCAAAGCTCTCAATATTTAACAGAATAATGACAAGAGACGCCATTGTCTTTTAAAATATATCACCTGTTGTTTAATGTATTGCCGTCTTCAAGGAGGAGAACGTCACCCCTGCACCTCCTGGAATTCTTTAAATTGAATGTGCGCAGTCGATGGAGATGGTGGAGTCTGAAGCTGATGCCTAAAGATATACATCTTGCCTTAGTATCATGTTTCAGAAAAGATGATATAATGTTAAGTTTGAAATTATGGGCAGTACAGAGTTATCTTAAATGCATTTCAACACAATACACGCACACAATATTATATATATATATATATATATATATATATATATATATATATATATATATATATATATATATATCACCTCACCTGCCAGAGATTCGAACCTGCTCTGTACTATCAAAGCCTGTTCAACGAGCTCGTTGAACAGGCTTTTGTGAAATATAACAAGTCTAGGACTGCTTTAGTATCCTGTTGGTCCAGAGGTGGCCTTCCCAAGTCACAGTCGGGTCATGGGTTCGAATCCTGGCGGGGTGAGGTGACTATATGTAGAATCCCACGTTCTTATTGGCTAATGAAATATATATATATATATATATATATATATATATATATATATATATATATATATATATATATATATATATATATATATATATATATATATATATAAAAAATAAACCACTGCTTTAGGCTAGATGAGTGAGAGTTATACCAACAGAAGAGACATCCCGATATCACCCCTTTCTTCACGCAGGTAGATCAGACACTCACCTGAAGGTCCACACACAATTATGGCGGTTGGGGTATTGTTGGGAAAGTTCTTGGACTGAATCCCTACCGAAGTGCCGGGTTCTAGGGTGTGCTCTCCACAGGACACGAAACTACCTGTAATGATGTTATCACACAGACCTCATGAGTTAATTATACAATAATTATCTAATTCGCAAAGTTAATTTTTTAAACATATAGAGGCCATGACAATCGCACTGATTACCTAACAATACAGTACTGTACTTGCAACCCAAACAACAGTGATGTAATGTACTGTGTCTCACTGAGTTAAAGACACCTTAAAACAGCAATTGTCGCAATGACATGGACGAGATTTACCACATGATATCTTACTTGCTTTGGTTGAATCTGCCAATCATCGCCCCTTAGGTTGAATCTCCCAATCATTGCCCTTGTTGAATCTGCCAATCGTCACCACCTTTACCAGTGTTCCTGTAATAGTATACAATGTAAGTTTATTTTCTTGACTGCCAGACGGGGAGTATTAGGCAAAATAAAAATAAGAATTTCATACAGCACAGCAACAACTAACACTTTGGGAAATGAAGAACGGCTAGGTGTTAACACAGTGACAATAAACTCAGAGTGACTTACTTGGCCACAGTGACTGTTGAAGCCTCGCTTCTGACGCCCCACAATACCACACGTATTTATGCCTTCAGTAATAAGACTCTCTCTCTCTCTACTATTATTTAAATCTTGATAAACTTGTTAAATATATTTCATACTAATCTGTCTCAAAATGTTAATACAGTACAGTATAACATCACAATATAGCTTTTTATAACCAGTGTAATATTTCTTCCTGTAAACAATTAACATTGTCATATCTATTTGAGGTCCATTTTTGTTTCATTAAGTCTTCGCTGTACAAAATAAAGTCCTTCTCAGTTCTCTCATCCATACCTTGAATCATCCTGGATCCCAAACAACACACAAAGTGGAACTAGTGTGTGTTGTTTCGATTCACAGAAAGATGATTCACGGGGTTCATGAATGACGGAGTGGATTGACAGGACTCTTTTGGCGGGTGTACATACATAAGTAATTGTCAGCGACACAACCATCCAGTCACGAGTTGTTGAGCATTTTCGTAGTGCTGCTCTCTGTTAGTTATTGTACGGTACCTTCCTATTGTGTCTGTACTTATTATTTGCTAAATAAATGCGTTCGATTGCGTGTTACACTGCATTACGATGAAAGTCTTCACAAAGGAACAGAGAATAGAACGACCCACCCACCGAACGACTGGTAAAGTGATAAGTGGTGGAACTATTAAATCAAGAGTAACCAGAGAGGATGAGTGTACGTTAAACTCAGCAAGACATACTGACCTGAACACTAGTACCGAGGCTCAGTAAGTGTTCCTATTGATCATACTGCAGGGTGAGGGTTACCAGCATGTTATACTTACTAGCATGGAGACCGCCCAAGCGAGTACTGAGTACGCATCCTGGCTTATGTGAGAAACAATGGACAACGTTACTGGGGTTCCCAAGTACTGGTTGGAGTGACTAAAGGCTTACACCCACTGTGCTGCCTCTACTCTTCCATCACCTTATAAAGGACAACGGGGAACGAGTTTACGTCATCCAGTGACACTTGTGAGTCTCCACTAACCCTAACCCACTCATCATCTCGCCTTTAATGTAAAGGTAAAAGATTAGCTTCGAAATTACACAGGGTTATATAACGGTTTTCAGCCTTAAAACTATTCAGAGTTGAATGCTATTTCAGTAAATGTAACGCCAAGCTTTATTTCACCTGCCGATTAAACTAATTGCTACTAGGAGCTGAAGTTGGGAATAGATTTACGATTTGTATATCTTTAAGAAAGAATTATAGGGCCAGCAAAAACAGAATCCAGAACAATTTCTCCCGCAGCGTCACATGATTTAAATAAAATTATAAGTATATACTGTACATGACTGAGCTCTTAGTACCTTAATTTGTTGTCGAAATGCGGGCGAATGTCCCCTCTCAAGTCCATGGAAGGGACCCCAAACTATCTTCTGCCCTCTAAGAGATGGAATTTTTTTTTCTCCAAGAGAATAAATTCCCTCTCTCCAGATATCAGCACAGTGACCCTGTCCCGTCAGTGTTTCGGATTTCTCGGCTTTATCATTTAAATATAGATTCGCTGCTGTAGACTCAATGTCATTACACCGTAACCTCTAGTGCATGTGCAGTTTGTGTTTACCTTCGGACATAAATAGCATAGTCATGGAAACATTTAGGTGCTTTTGAAATATCGGACTATACCAATGGTAATCTACTTGGCGGAATTTTTGACATCACAGTAGGAAGGTATACATTTTAAATACGTAAGCCAATTATTGAAATGGACAGGCTCAGGTAGTGACTGGGGTCAGTCATCACGAGCCTCATGTGTTGTATGACTGACTAAGTTATCAAACCAGGTCCATTTTCTTTGAGTAGACATCTGGGTCGTGATGTTTACGCAATTTGAATGTGTAGATGGAGCGTCATTAGTACTACAAATTGGCTTGGGGAGGAATTGTACTGATTATTTTTCTGCCTTACAGGCTTGCCACTATCAAAATTTTTTATTTAAGCTAGAAATAGTATATTTTGCTTTGTTTCTAAGTTTGTAACGAAGATAAAAACCATTACCTGTCATTTTGCTTAAATGAACAGCGGGCACTATGGGCAGTGTCCCATAGAACATTTTTTATTGAACTTCCATCTTGTGGGTGAAGCGCAAGCGTTTACAGCGCCCAACAGGGAATATGCTTCAGTTCATACTTTTGCTTTATATCTCTATATGAGTTAAAGGCGTAGAAAGCCTGAAAGTCAGTGGTTTATGTCATCGGTTATTGGAGAGTTCAACAACTTTCCTGAATGGAGTGTAACTGGGCTTTACAACTTAATTTTCCTTTTTACTGCTAAGGAGTAAGTCCAGCCTGGCCAGAATCGAACCCGTGACGCCATACAGGGCAGAACATTTTGCTTCCACCACCGATCCCCCCTGCAGGCTAAAAACCTACCTATAAGGGGGTCACAGCTCCAGGTCGAAGCCTAAGTTCTACTTAAACTGTGAGGCAGAACATTTTCGGGTGAGGTGGCCGAACTCTTGGGGCCAATCTTGCTGAAAGTGAGCCTGTTGGGGCACCACGAGTGAGAGCTCCTTGAAGACCAGTAACATTGGAGCAGGATTCCTGTGAAAGTATATTCAGGAGCCAGAGATACCCAGCATCTGCCAACACAATTAGCATGCTGGGGCATGAGCCACCCGCCCAGAGGCTGTAACACAAACTGATCCAGTGGCGAAGAGGATAAAAGTAAAATAGTAAAAGGCTAGCAGGTTTTTTTTTTCGTAATTGTTATTAAATTATGATAAAACATATATTTACCGGTGCTGACTGTGATTGTTTAAAACTTCGAAAACTGGCTCTCGCCATGTTCATTATTAATAAACTTATATTAATATTAATAAATTCCCAAATTAATTATGTTGATGATTATGAAGCAAGCATGGAAAAGTGGCATGATCTCATACACAGAACTCTTCCTCACATCGTCAGACCTCTTTCCTTATTGTAGTCATGGGAGCCGGGATCTCCTGCTTACTATTGGTTACAGGTTTACCTTATAAATTATTATGAAATTAAACGAACTTACCAAAAAATGCTTTTAAAATACCTCCCCCCCTCCCTCCTCCTCCTCCACCACCGAGAAAGATGCCAATCATGCACCATCTCCAAGTTTTTTAGTTAAACAAATTTATTGACGAAGTTTGGAGTACAGTTTGCCTATCCTGAGTAATTCAGTCAGGTTCAACACTGAGGGTGGTATACTTCTCACTGCCACGCAGGACAGAGGTTCATACACAAAGAAATACATCATATTCATTTGCAGTATATATAGGTCAGAGTCATGTGAGTGATGTCACTGTTCACTGCCATGCAAGACAGTGGTTCATATACATTGGATGTCATATTCTAATTGAAGACTAATGAGTGTGGATTAGCAAATTTGGGATAAACAGCAAGAATGTCCCCAAGCACCCCCGATTCAATATAGTGATTACAAAGTTTATGATACAATAAGCCAGGTGGCCTGAAGTCTTTGACAGTGTCACATTCAATAATATAGTGTTCAAGTGTATGTTTTAAAGGTTTATCACAAAGTTTACATGCTGAGTGTTCCGGAATGGGTACAGCGTTAATAACTTGCCAAATGTGTCTGTATCTTAGCCTGGCCACGACTACATCACATTGTCTGGTTCTGTCCTTTTGCTGGCCATACCGGTACCTCTCGTCACAAAATTTGTCATATTTACTAATGCTACAATTGCCAGATCTCTCTGCATTTCTCAGTTCTTCTAGATCAGAGTTCATGAACTTGATTTGA